AGTAGGTATCTCCAGGGGTTCCTCCTAGTTAAGGTTGGTTTTGATAGAAAAGTAAAACAGGACATTGCGGGGAGAGGCGATGACAAAGACTGTTTGCCAATATACATCTAGATATGGTTACTTAGAAGGTGTAGAAATGGAACCTCTGGCCCTTTCCTTTTGAAGTTTAATGTTATTAGAACATCTCAGTGGGTAGTAGCAGGGCCCTACACGCCCAGCAGACTGGCAGTCACACCAGGGGAAAGGCCCATGAGGGATGATGAAATCTAGACAATGATGCAAGTTCAACCCCCAAGGACATGTCCTTCTCAAGGTGGGCTTGTCCCAGCATGCGTCAGGCTACAAAATCTCCTGTCCCAGGCACCTTGAACTATGGGGAATCCCTCTGGGGCAATGGCTCTGTATGTCTGTTCATGTATGTGTACACGCACACGGGTGTGCCTGTGCAAACATAGAGATGCTGACGGTAACACCAGCACCTTCACTTGTGGTGGTGTAGAATGATCCCAGCTGAGGTTGGTGAGAAGGGTCGTCTTTTCCTGCCCCCCAGCCATAAGCAAAGGCTGCTGGCAATTGGCCGGAGCCTCAGGACTGGAGCATCTCTAATCTTCAACCACCACAGGAGGGAGCAGGGTCTGCCTTCAACCCACAGCACATCTTGCAAGGCAGCGAAAGCCCCAGAGCAGCACAGATGGGGCTCCCTGGACCAGGTGGCTTTGGGGTTCCTTAGACTCAGCACTAGAGTTGGGGAGATTCCAGCAGAGGCAAGAAGGACATTCTCTTGACAGTAATATGAGAGCTCGAGCTATTTTATTTGAATATGTTTTAAAGCGTGGCTTTACTTTGTACTCCAAGCTGGAGAGATAGGAAATGTGTTCTATACACTGTCCTTGGGTTGGAAGAAACCTTAGGGTGACACAGACAATGAACGATGTACACTTAAAGCAGTGGTTCTTAACCAGGGAGTGATTTTGACAACGTCTGGAGACATTTTCAGTGGTCACAATGGAGGCAGGGGTCTTACTGACATACAGTGGATAGAAGTCAGGTGTGCTGCTAAGCCCTATGATGCACAGCTCAGCTCCCCAAAATAAATAATTATCTGGCTCAAAATGTTAATCTGAGGTTGGGAACCCTGACTTAGAGCAAGAGAGATCACTTCCAGCTGGTTAAAAAATAAACCAAGGGAAAAGATGAGAAATGTGTAAGACGCCATGTCAGGGAAATATGTTCTCTGGGTTTGAAATGTGTAAGAATCCACAGACTCTTATTAGAGGGGCTACAGGTGAGGTGCTGCCATGGATCACATGCTATCAAGTGTATATATAATATCTCATGTTTATTTTAAATCCTTGGTCTGTCTGGCTGGACATGGTGGCTCATGCCTATAATCCCAGCACTTTGGGAGGCCAAGGCGGGTGGATCACCTGAGGTCAGGAGTTCTAGACCAGCCTGACCGATATGGTGAAGCCCCATCTCTACTAAAAATACAAAAATTACCTGGACATCATCCCAGCTACCCAGGAGGCTGAGGCATGAGAATCGCTTGAACCCAGGAGGCAGAGGTTGCAGTGAGCCGAGATCACACCACTGCACTCCAGCCTAAATGACAGAGCAAGACTCCATCTCACAAAAAAAAAAAAAAAAAAATCCTTGGTGATTCTGCTCTAATATTTTTGCTTTGGGTGGTATGTATTATAGTCTTGTGCAGTTTTGGTCTTTCTTTTAATACAATTGTCCTACTTAAGTATTGACTTCTTCTGTCCTGTGAGCTCCTGTTGAAAGGGGGTATTGGCTACTCTGGCACTCTGCATCAGGAAAGGAGTATAAGGGAGGGTAGGTGGTTCTAAAGCCCCAAGCATTAGAACCACCATTCCTACTCCCATTTGCTAACATTCTCATTTGCAACTCCAGCCAGGATTTACCTTTAGCTTTAGGAAGAAGAGCAATAGGGGTAAGTGGTTTGTCATCAGTTTCTAGAATCCATGCTTCCTTCTTGCTTCCATAGTTTCTTCAACATTGCTTTGCAGGAAGGAGCTGCTGCCACGCCAGATGGACAACTAGCAGGAAGTGGAGATTCTGAATAAATGCTTAATTAATTTCACCTAGAGGGACAATTGGAAGAGTAATAACTTACATGTGAAGCAGAGCTGGGTACCAGTTTATCATGGCCTGGACTGTTGGCTCTTTCTAAGTGATCCCACTATCATCTTCGTCATGCAGCCCCTGATAGTCCTACCCTTGGTCTCCAGAAGCTGATGCTACAAGCATGAGGCAGGGGCATCTGGAGTTCCTCAGTGACCTCAGTGACCGCATTCATTCCTGTGTTTAAAGTTTCTGAGGAACCTGAAGGCTGACTCAAAACTGCCTGAGATATTTCTTCATTGTTCAGTTCAAACACGAGCCACAATTGCCTAGGCAAGTAGAAAGGGAAGGTAGATGTCAGCAAAAGCCTGTCTTGCCTGCTGCACTCTAACAAAGACTGGCCAGATAGGCACGGAAAGGACCGAAGAGCTTCACGTTGTACAGAACAGCAGGTCTGGGAAGCAATAAGGCCTTGCTGGGTGATCACTTACAGAGAAGTGTCCTCAATATCTCCTTCCTCAGAGAAACAAAGCCATTTCCTTGGCAACAAAAGCCCATACTTGTGTACTTTGCTAAAAATTTACAGTGCAAGGCCAAGGCTGAGTGCATGTGTGCACATGTGTGCGCACATGCTGAGCTTTCAAAACAGGCTTTGCTGATGCCCATTTGCCAGCAAACCACCTTTTAACCCTGTGTCCTTAAAAAGCTCAGAGTTATAATTTTCAAAAGTTCGTAAGTTCGGCTGCACATGGTGACTCATGCCTGTAATCCCAGCATTTTGGGAGGCCAAGGCAGGTGGGTCAAGACCAGTCTGGCCAACATGGTGAAACCCCCATTTACACAAAAATACAAAAATTAGCTGGGCGTGGTGGCAGGTGCCTGTAATTCCAGCTACTCGGGAGGTAGAGGCAGGAGAATTGCTTGAACCCGGGAGGTGGAGGTTATAGTGAGCCAAGATCGCACCATTGCACTCCAGCCTGGGTGACAGAGCAAGACTCTGTTTCAAAAAAAAAAAAAAAAAAAAAAGTTCATACGTTGGAGAGATTCAGAATAAGTAGTATTTATTCAAACTAAAAGAAAATAGTTTTTGTTTTCTTCAAAATTAAAAACTATTTATTAACTTCAAAGACTTTGACTCTGAACTTAGGCCTGAATATGCCAGCCTTTTTCTCACTGGAGAAACTCAAAATCTTTCCAACCATTCCCCTAGATGCCAGCCAAATGAAATATTCCTGAACACATATCATTACTTAAAACTTGGGTTAGAAACATTCTGTTACTGAGATTTATATATTATCACTTACGTATGCTTTTGTAGAGATACAATTCAAATATTTCAGAGACACATTGTTCTTCTAATACACACAAGACACTGGTGAATTACTAGATCATAAGGGCTATCACATATTATGCTTATCATGTGCTAAGCACTATTTTAAATGAGTTTTACACATACTAATTTACTTGGGCCTATCAACAAATAAAACAAAGACCAGAGCTAATAAACAAAAAAAGGATGGGTGGATGGATGGATGGATGAATAGATGGATGGGTAGGTAAGCAGCAGGTAATAATAGACCAGATCGATAGATAAAAATTAAAAGTTGAGGCCAGAGCAGTGGCTCATGCCTATAATCCCAGGGGGAAACCGAGGCAGGTGGATCACTTGAGGTCAGGAGTTCAAGACCAGCCTGGCCAACATGGTGAAACCCCCTCTCTACTAAAAATACAAAAATTAGCTGGACATCGTCTGTAGTCCCAGTTACCCAGGAGGCTGAGACAGGAGAATCACTTGAACCCGGGAGGCAGAGGTTGCAGTGAGCTAAGATGAAGCTACTGCACTCCAGCCTGAACGACAGAGCAAGACTCCGTCTCAAAATAAATAAAAGCTGAGTCGATTGACCTGCTAGCCACAGGAATACAGGCTAGGGAGAAATTTACTGAATTAAGCAGTAGCTCACTGACAGGGAAAATTCAGAGTTGTTAAAGGGCTTGCCAGGGTAGGTTCATGTGGTTATTGATAATTAAGGGTTGAAATCCAGTACTTTGGAAAGAACAGAATGAATCTAAAGTTCTAAATAGAGTTGGTAAAAAGAAACCCCATTGCTCGCTGTTTGGGAACAAGTCTTCAGTTAAGACCAGTAAGAGCCTAGCGTCCCACAGTTATTCCAAGTTCACGGTCCTTTATTCAGCTTCTGCTGGTTTGGAGCCAACCTTGAGAAACACAGTAGTCAGTTATGATCCATCCTTGAGAAATGCTCCCATAAGGAGAAAATGTTATTTTACATTCCTCACAATAAATTTTTAAGGGCGTGCAATTATTATCATCCTTATTTTCCAGAGCTGGAGACTAAGGCACTGAAATATGTAATTTGCCGAAGGTCAAGCTAGAATTCAATCCTGGGATGTCAGAGCCCACACTCTTAACCCCTCTTCTCAGCCAGCAAGCACAGATTTGAAACCAATTGTTGATGTATATGTTGCCTGTTTAAAATAATTCATTATTAAAATTATACTTATAAAGTTGCTTTCAATTTCAAGTAAATTAAATGATCAAAGAGGATTGTGCATGATTAGTACTATGACTACACACCAGGTTTAACTTGAGATCTGACTTTAACCTTTGCAAACTGCTTTGTAAATGCTGGATATTTTATGAAAAAAATAGGAATATTTGCCTCTTTTTTTTTTTTACATCTGTTTCATAGGAACCAAGTCTGTCTCTACAATCACACACATTATACCAAAGCCATCCTGAAGGAGTGAGTCTTTTAATAGTCCCCCTGTTAAAGACTTTCTCATTCTCATTACCCCCACTCACCCTAGTCTTACCTTCTACATCACTTGAAAACTTTTCTAATTAGAAATTAGAGGCATATTTTCTAATAGAAAATGAATTGCACTTCTTTGCCCGTCTATGCCTCTCCTTGTATCTGCAAACCATTTAAAGACCATTACCTTGAGCTCTTTCAAGGGTAAATCATCTCCCAGAGTTTGAGAAGCACAAAGATGTACTGCAAAATCCGTGACTATCATCTTCTTACATTTTGGAGAGATTTAGTTTTGAGAAACAGAGGCTATCTGATACATTTGATAATTAAGAACATTGACTGAGCTGTGTAATGCAGTTTCTTGTTCCAAACAAGCAGGACCCAAAGTAATGTAATACGATTTTCATGTCATCAGTATAAACCAATACAAAGGCAATTTTAAAAGAGAAGTCCCCAAATTGTCTTGATCAGTGGTGGTTCTATTGGCATAAAAGCACTGCCTCTGAAGATGACTCCTTTAGTGGTTTTTTTTTTTTTTTTTTTTTGGTATGTGTTTTAGTAGGTTTGTGGAAAAGCTCAGTATGACCACAGCATAAGCTGTACCTCATATGTACATCAAATTTGAACATATCGACAACTGCATGGCTTCCCTTGTTGACAGCTCTAAGGGTTTGAAGGTAATACAGGTGGCAGAATAAGATTTTATTAGAAGAAAGAGTTCCACGGCTAAGAAAATGTTCAGCACAGGACTAGTGTATCCTTGAGACTTTTCACAACACAAGGATTCTGAGATTCAATATTCCAAAAGTTCTGTGGCAACCTGAATAATTTTCAGAAGTGAGTTTCCACTGAATTTGCCACATTTTTTCTCCTAATTCCTCTTGTAAATGATAGCAATCATTTATAGGCTAGTATTAAGCATCTTATCACTGAGAACTCTAGAATAATTAGTCTTCATTATGGTGACACTGATATCTTTGGAATAATTAGTAAAAGACTAAAAATCATGTCCAGTATAGTTTTTGCTTTAAAGCATATTTTAAATGGGATTGTTTTTGGAGAAAGGGAATCCCTGAAAGCGATTTAACTTAATATTTACCCATTTACACTTCATTGGGAAAATCATTCGTTCACCACACGCACTGTTCTTCACTGCCACTAGGTGGTGCTCCAGCCATAATGTCGTTTCCTGAGCCTCCAGAAGCTGTTCACTACATACTGTCCTAGGGTAGGTCCCACTGAACGTGGCTGGTCTTGTAAAAATCACATCCAGTGTGAGGTATGTTTCTAAGCGCCCTAAAGTTTACACAGAACTCCAGAGTGAGAGTGACAGTAAAAAAGTTCGCTATTCAGGAAAAGGAACTCGACCCACAGTGGAAGGAAAATAACTAAGGCAGGTGGAGTAGTAGAGACAAGCCCAGGGTTTTCCCCCGATGGTGTCTTTAGTAGTAACCTAACCATCTACTGCAGTGGCTGGCCCAGTGGTGCTGAAAGGTGAGGCTATGCAAACATCTTCCATGGCCTTCCAACTACCACAGCTTGGCCAACACAAGCACCAGGAAAAAAAGATCTGGGAGAAAGACCAATTATGGAGACCTTTGGTCTGTGCCTGCCTAGCTGTGCCTGGTACCCATGCTTCATATCTATCCAGATTTGATTTGCTCTGGGCTAGCAGCTCACCATTTGTCAGCACAGCAACTTGCCCCAGGAGGGCAGACCCTTCCCTGGGCTGTAAACAAATTTTATCTTCCCATTTCCTGGAATTCTCTCAGTTATATTCTGTAACTTACTAGTCAGTTTTGATTCAGTTCCCAAAAGAATCACATAGAGGTACAAGCTTCAAAGAAAGACAATCTCCATATGTGGTTCAGTGTACAAACACGGGCAGTGTGTGTGCATAGTCACAAACGCTAAGTGGCACAGAAAAAGAAGCAATCGGCATGAGCCAGGGTATTAAAAAGACTTCACAGAAGATGTGGCACTCAAAAACAGGACTGCAATGTTTGGAACTGGAAAAGATCTTAGAGAACATCTGGTCTGAAATGTTCATCTGAGTCTTTTTTTTTTTTTGAAATGGAGACTCTCTCTGTTGCCCAGGCTGGAGCGCAGTGGTGCAATCTCAGCTCACTGCAACCTCTACCTCCCGAGTTCAAGAGATTCTCCTGCCTCAGCCTCCCAAGTTGCTGGGACTACAGGCACCTGCCACCGCACCTGGCTAATTTTTGTATTTTTAGTAAAGACTGGGTTTCACCAAGTTGGCCAGACTAGTCTCAAACTCCTGACCTCAGGTCATCTGCCCTCCTTGGCCTCCCAAAGTGCTGGAATTACAGTTATGAGCCACCAGGCCTG